TGCCTTTGCATTTTGCTAGAAAGAGATTGCCCCTGGTCGGCCTTCTTTATTTTCGCCGGCTCTCGCCCACCTTTTTAACGCCTCGCCGAATGTCGCCTTCGAGCCACCAACCTCGTTCCCCCAAGTAATTTTCCCCGCACTGTGTACCTCTTTTTATTATACAGCCTGTAGGGTGTGGCCGTTTCTCGCCAGATGAGAAATTAGCTACTAACTCGCAATAATAACGGTAGAAACAGCGCTGAATGCGGTGGGAAATCAGCGGTTTATTGTCGGTAACGCGAAGAAAGCGGTCAGAGGAAATGCAGAAATAAAAGGAGTGAAATGTGGATTTTTGGCTACATACGCAATCGAGCACATTTTCGTAAGACACGTAAATCTGTACAGGATCTTTCCTGGATGATCAGGAGCAGACCAGATGCACGATTGCATCCTTGTTGCGTGCCAGGACGCCCGAAGGTGTGCAGAAATCGTTTCCAATAGCAGTAATTGTCTGCCGACCTTGAATCTCCGGCGTATTCTGGAGCTCGGTGATTTCGCGGCGGACTTCTTTTCCATTTTGCCGCGGACATTAGTTTTAATGGCGCGCGTTTAGACCAGCCCGAGGGGGCTCTAAAACTCACTTCCGTACTCACCCTAATCGTTACAAGTGTACGCCTTAGGGAATAAACAGTGGGCCAAGTTTCCGGGAAACTTTTTCGACTCCAATGTCCTGTTAATTCTGCCGTTTGGCTTCGACGATCCGCCACTATTGTTCCATTTATCCCGCGGAAAGGTTTCATTGAAACCGAGAGTAAAATCTCTAACATACTTTCGGGTTATAAAACAGATTTACGTCTTAACTGGACTTCAGTTTCTGAGGAGGAAGCAAGAGTCGAGAAGGATCTCGGGAGGTAGAAAACATCTGAAAAGACGGGAAGGTGCCCAGATTGTCGACCAAAACCTTTAAAAACGCGAAAAAAGCGTCCATGGCACGGGATGGAGCGGGCTTCCCGCGAGGTACGCCCATTTCCCTCGGAATCGGTGGTTATAACGGTAGCCTATGAGATAATATATAGTTGCGCTCCTCAAATGATCAGATGGAAGGGAGACAGACACGAAGCTGTTCTCGTGGCCGATTTAGTTTCATTTCGAAATAGGAAAAAGAAGCCCTAGCGGCGCGCTTTATTTTTCTAATACAAATTCCTCCCCGAAAATTACCTTACCGGATGGTTCCAGTACACTGTTAACACATTCGCGATCGCTGACGTGAATTCACGTCTTTTGAAGTTCTATTCCTGGTTGCCGCTGACGTGAATTCACGTCATTTTTAATTCTATCCCTGATTGCCGCTGATGTGAATCACGTCCTGCTTAGCTGGCTCACTAATTGTTAGCCGGCGCGGTGCACAAATTTTATCATTTTTATCCTTGTTTAACGATACAAGTTTGCGGCAACCAGTTTCAGAATTTCATTATTTTCGCCGGTACTCAGTATTTGAAACGGAAAAAATTTGCCGGTCGCTAATGTGTTAAAGATGTTTCGAAATTGCGAAACACTTCTGAATAAAATTGTATATTAAAACTGGCAATAGTGGCACTCAAAGTGAAAACCGGACAAATGTACCTTACATTTCGAAGAACACCATTTTAATGTGAGGATTCATAATTCGGAACAGAATGATAAGATAAGAAAAGAAGTCGGTAAAAATGTTCATAAATGTACTAGAATGCGATCTTGAAATATATAAACAACGGTGTACGTGTAAGGGATCTAACATCAATTTGCAAAAGTATGGCAATTTTGGTATATCTACATATTCTGTAACGCCGTACGCATTATGTTACATTCACCCGTACGTGTATCTTCATGCACAATTGCCTATAAATTCTCATAAATGTGACAAAAAAGGACGGTATAAAATTAAAATTCAATATACATGCTCTTTGAAATTCAAATACTCGCGCACTAAAATCACGAGCGGGATTGTACACGAAATTTTAAAATCCTGTATCTTGAAAAAGCATCAACTATGTGCATACTACATTTAGAACGGCTGTTTTTAAGAGTTCCATGTTTATAATATTCACCGAAAGTGAATCGTATTAATGCCTTAACGGAAGAATGCAGATAAGGGGAGATCGGGTGTCACGGGTAAAGTGCGACATTTCTTGCTAGAAAAGCTGGAATTTGCGCGTGTACTATCAATAAATTTGCGCAAGTTCGTTTTCAGGAACGTTTACATTATCCGTAAGAACTATGTGAGAACAGCTCTCGCAAATTTGACTTCCTCGGGTCCGAGCCTTTAGATAGGGTCTATTGTTTTGGGCTCGTTTCCAGCTTGCAGGTCGGACGACGTAATCGAGGTTCTGCGGTGTGGAGCGCATCGTATCGATACCTTTTGTGCGAGAAAATTGATCTACGCGTCCGGCGGTCCGAAGTGTGTCGCGAAGACGGAAAAGCGCCGGTGCTGCCGCCAAGCGACGCGCGAAGGAACTGTCGAGTCCGCGGCGGGCGGGAGAGAGATGAAACGCGCTGCCCGAGCGCGAGTGGGAGAGAGACGGAGACGCGACCGGCGCGCGGACGGAAGAGAGACGAGCGCGGCTTGGAACGGCGTTATTGAAGATATACGCCCATTCCGCTTGGAATCGGCCTCTATGGCGGCCTACCGGAAATTTGCAGTTGCCTGCATTCCTCTGGCAGTCATGTGGCAAAGAGAACGAGAGACCTCCGATCGGCGGGAGGGAAAGAGACCCGCCGATCGATCATAACCTCAATAATTGCGGGCTCTCTCCTCTCTTTCTATCGGCTCGTATGGAATTTTTTATCCAAGCTTAATGAAACTTCCGATTCACCGCGACAGAATTCGACGGGGAACGTGCCGGTTTATTCTGCCGCGTGGAGGGTGCTCGACGGAAGCATTCGAGCTTTTGCCGCTTCGCTTGGTATTTCCATTTCGATTAGGGAAAATGACGCGCTAAAGCGTCAGTTTTTTTTTTTCCGTTTCGGTGGCTTGCCGAACGCCGCTCGTCGCTATCGGCGTGCGACAAGTGCGGCCCGCAGTCGTTTCGCGACGTTCAAGGCTAACCCGGTGACGAAGTTGAGCACCCCCGCCGCCTCTCGGGCTGCGGAAGGCTTTGAGGACGAAAGACCAATTTGTATTTTAAATCGGACTATTAATTTCTACTTGTGAATGCTTCGTACGTGTATATATACCCTAATAGAGTATGCTATGAGAAATAGTGAAGAAATTTGTCCTTTGCCGCGAATTAAGTGCATTATATATTTTTTATATGAAAGTAAATTTTGTTATACATTCAGTTTCTTTAAGACATAAGGTTGAGTTCCTATCTCACGACGCACCCTGACAAAAGGGACAAAAAGTTTGGTAAAAATTATTAATTAGCATGAAGGGCAAATTTTTGTATCCTATTTTGTATGTTATCGGTTTAGATTGAATTTTAAATTATTGGTTTCGGCAGGAGAAACTGAATCAATGAAAAAGTTATAGAAAAAAGGAAACGCTGGCGGAATGTATATATATTTAAAGTAAAGTTTTTCGAACTTTCTTTCATTTCAAACCTTTTACGCATGTTTTCAGTATCACGTTGACGCTGTATATTAATTTCTGTTAAAAGTGTTTTTGATGCTGCTGGTCATGAAGACATCTTACTTTATTTTTCAACAAGGATGGCAAATATTAACAAACAACATTTTTTGGCAATTATGCATAAAAGGGTGATCTTCTCTGATTTTCGTACAACTTTTATACATTGTAGAGGACGTCGTCCCAAGTATTTAATATATATATTTAAGGGTCGGACCTGAATATTGTTCGAGTTACAATGAAGAAAGAAAACCAAAGAGGCTATATACTTGGCTGCTTTTGACTACTTCCCTACTTCCATCGTTTTGTTAACATTCTTCCATATATTTTGGTATGTTTATTATCACGCAGTCCACTGTTCAGAGAAATCGAAGATCGAAGATGAAATTAAGCGAATTTCTTATTATTCCTCAGGATCTGGATCAACTTCAGGACTTTTGAAACTAACCTAAACTATTACAGAAATTGAATAGGTTAGGATATATTTTAGGTAACACCGCCATGCCGTATTATTGCTATTCTTCAATTGTTTAATAACTCGGAAAATGTTCCAGTCCGTATAAATATATATGTGAAAATACTCGGGACGAGTATATAATAAACTTAAAGCATAATAAAATATTCTACGCTTTCCCAGCAACGTCCTACATTTTCCGGGACTAGAAACAGGAACACCTAAATAAACTCACACTTTCTCAACCTCCGCGAAAGAATTTCCTTTCTTACAGTCCGAAATCGGTGATTCGCCCGACGTACGTGACGATCAATAATCCCTCAGTACGAATCTAATTTTTCAATTTTTATCTACATTTTTTTTTCCATTTTCGCCTGCGATAAGATTCCCTTTTACAAATAGTAAATCGATAGAGGAATAACTGACGTGAAATTGACATTGAATCGGTGGGATTTGTGTCGCACCGTCAAAAAGCTCAGCTAACCTCATGGTAGGTCCGCTGGTAGGTAACCACTCGAAGTCTAATCGCGCATTAATTAATCCTTGATTAAGGGATTTAATTCGAATTACCTTTGTTCATTCATCTGTCCACTCGAACGGGGTTGTAATTAGCACTATCAGTGGCGGATTGATGCGAAAACGCCGAAGGCCGCGATTGTTAAGCATCCCGTCGTTATCAACGCGCGGGCGAAGAGCGAGACACCCGCGTTCGGCGGCGCCAACGGCGAGGTTGAGCACCTGACCGCCGCCGACCAATGGGAGGCCTCGGAGCGGCGGCCATCTTGGCCGGAGCGGCTTTCGAGTGCAGGAGTCGCGTGGCGCGGCGAGTAGTCGTTGCAGTGCGCGCCGACTGCCGAGCCGTGACTGCTGTGCCGCGCGCGCCTCGGCTTCGCATCGAGATTTCTCGATCGATTCACGATCCGAACGGTGTCGGGTGGCGATCTCGAAGTAACCCTCGAAGTAAATCAGCCGCCTGAAACTAGGTACGCATTTTCGATAGCATTCCTAATGACGAGATAGTTAATTAAAAAACGGACGGAAAGCCGCGAAATAACGAGGCGCGACGGCGCCGGCGGAAGTGACAGTTGGAGGAACGACGGTTGCGGCCTCGACGTAACCGGCAAACGAGAGGAAGAAATTCCCCTAATGGCGGGTTGATAATGTGTCTGGACGTCGGCGGGAGGAAGAAGATTCGAACGAGGTATCGCAAGGGAGGTGCGCCGAAATATAACGCTACATGGTAAACCGCACGTGACGTTTATCCCCACGCGGGGTGGAGAGGACAGTGGGAGGCGTAATTGCGAAATCGCCGGGATGCCGCGCGAACGTTTGTCGGCTGCCGTGGACGCTCGTTACAGTTTTGGGAATTCCTTTTAACCGCGCCAAGGTTGTCGTTGTTTCCGACTGGATGGAGGTGACTCGGTTGAGGTCCACGAGCGTGGAGAGGCGCGATATGACGTGCTAGGACGCTCAAGTTTGGTGAGCGAGTCACGGAGGCGCACGTGATGGCTCCGGAGGTTTCTTTTAATTAGAGAACTATTGACGACTTTTTTTGCACGGTGTAATTCAATTACCGGCCGGATTGTGTTCGAGACGCGCGCAGCCTCGCTTCGAAGATTTTCACTTTTTACGGACTTTGGAGTGTTTCGAGGAACCTGGACGACTTCATCGTGGACGATTGCAGACTGCAACGGTGAGTTGATATACAACTTACGCGACGAGTCGCTTATTTGTAGACAGGTAATGCCAATGCGCATATGCGTTGCGTTCACGTGTACACGCGTCGCAAGACTGCACATGTGCTCGCATTTGTTAAGTATTGAGAGAAAAGCTAGGCGAATTGGGACATTTCCTCGAATGTTTCCTGACTTTGCACTTCTTTAACTTATAATAATGAGCCTGTTAATTTTAATTTATCCCGAAGCATCGAGAGACCAATTTTGAGATAGAATGAGTACTTATGTATGTATCACGTGAGAGAAGAATCGCAGGTACGTTGCGTTACCGAGTCACCGTTTCTGCACGAAAGTGTGTCTGGAGATCTCTCAGATCTTTACGCGCTTAATTAGCACTTAACTTGGCAGTGAATCTTAAGAGAGACGAAATCATTTACCTTCTCTTTTAATGCCTCTTTGAGTAAGGGAGCTCTCGGTAGTTTTTCATGCATTAATGAAGATATTAAAAGTCGTACCTTATGGCGCTACAAAAAAAAAAGTAAGTTTCCAGAGGGAACCGTCTTTAACGTAAAAATGAGAAAGATATTCTCTGAGCGTCATGGGATGGAATTTAATTCCCAAAAGTAATAATAAACTCGTAAGGAATGTTCACCAATGGGGAAGATATTTTTACTTGAGGTGCGATTTAATTGAAAATAGATTGTCGTACCGGAGGCAATATCGAAGTTGCCGTTTGTAGGGCTATGATTTACGCCCCGGTATCAGGGAAAAACGAGGAAATCCGGCGACGCGAGGGAAGGGCCCTTTAAAGGAAAGAATTGGATTCGCGGAGAAGTGTCGGCGATTTGCAGGGAATGGGCTTCCGTAACGAGCCGTGACGAGTGACGTCTTTCCGACGATAAACGCTTTAGAACTCGCGAACTAATGCCGAAAGAACTGAGACGAAGCCACGGGCCTCGTAGCAGCTTTTACGGCGCCATCATAAAGGGACGTAAATACCTGGGATGGCATCCGATGCTTTTTATGTTTCCACCACAGTGGAACCACAAATCGCGCTTTTTACGGCCCGCGTTTTCAGCTTTTCATCTCCGGGACGTGAGATGACTACTGGCACCATTGACTGCATAGTCGAAGCATAAGAAGCCTCTTTCTATTCGTGCTTTACTTGCATCGTCGCGTTAATAATTCTACTCGCAGGCACGAGAGACTTAACGCGGGATAAAAGATAAATAGATCAAAAAGAAAACAAAAATGTTTTTAAACACTTCAAAGTTGTAATAAAATAATGTGAAAATTTAAAAATGATGCGATTATTTTATCACTATTAAAAAAATTCCTTAAAAATTACTCATTTTCGGGCGTCTAAAGGGGTGGTTTGCTCCCCTTAAATGGAACGTGTCGTGAAAGAGGGAATGGTACCTCGTTAAAAATATTCATAAATTTCCTACACTTTCAATACATGATAGTAGTCATTACAAACATTTAAGTGAATTTACAATGTTATAATATGTCATAGTTTCGCGAAATTGTATAGGAAAATTAATACACTTGTGTCCTATATAACACGAGTTTATGAAATATATATACAAAATGTTGTAAAGTTAATATACCATGTTTGAATGGAACTTAAGAAGAATTATGTAAAATTAAAATATCTTTTTAACAGTGTACCAACGGTTCGTTATTCCGAAGTCACGGTTGTTAGGCCTAGATTTAGAAATGTACACAGGGTAGGACGAGTTTCGAGTGAAATCGGAGGAAAGTGCAGTAGCCATCGATTCAACTTGAACTTGACTTCAGCTAGCGAAATAATCGATCGTATAATTATAGTCGAAGTGGTACGAGCTTGCGTTATGTACGCGAGGCATCGATTTAGGGTGGTTGAACTCATTTTCCTTTATTGCGGTCGTCAGACGGTATCGTTGCCAGATGTCTCTAGGTATGGAATTACATTTGCGTCTCTCGGGCTGCATTTGATTTGTTTATGCCATTCCCAGTCTAAGCTGCACGTACACGCATGCGATAAGCACGCCGGCTTTCATTTTCTGCGTCTCTGAATCAGAGCAGTCGGTCTGAATCGCATTCGGAGGTAAATCTACTTTGTGCCATATAGCGTTTAGCGGTTAGATTCAGTTAAATGCGACACACAATTTGCGGAAATTCCCCTGCAGGTATTGCCAAAGACATTGCCTCCTTCCTTGTTACCTTACGCAACAATAAAGTCTATGCTCTTACAGCGCGAAAAGAAAAAAAAAATTGCAAAATGGAACGGTGTAGTTAACGCGCCGTTTTAAATGACGTTAATTCAAATTCGAGAAAGGAGTTTACGCGAAAGTATTTTAGAAGAAACGAGCAGGTAAGCGACACGGAGTACTGGGATCCTACGATGGATAATTATCGTAAGTGCATAACGGGTAGAGATGCCGGAAACCGACAGAGCTCGCTGTAGAAAATGCACTCGGCAAATCCACTGAAACTCTCCCCTGGGTTCTGGTTTACCGCAAAACGCAGCAATGCCTGGTAACAAGTTCTCTCCTCCTCAGCTGTCGTTCTCTCACAGTTTCATAAAATCCTCGTCGATAACTCCGTAAAAGCGATTGATCCCTGACGTTCCGGAGGTCGATCGATTTAACCTGGACAATCGTTAACTACTCGTCACGTTTAATTGAGGCTCACCGATCGGGAACGCTTCAGGTAGCGCTCGCTCGCTCGAATGATTCGATCTTCCTTCCGAATACCTTTTAAAAATGTCCGAGTAATAAATTGTCATAATCGCCGAGTTACTTTCATTTACCTTTTTCTTTCTTTTCTTTTTTCCACGGAAAGAAGCCATGGAGATCATTCGGGTAGCAGTAGGTATCATTGCTCGATTCTTTGTCGGCCGCTGTGTCTCTATTTATGGATTACCTATTTTTTGGGGAGTTTATTGGATAATTCACCGAGGCGGAACATCGGGTTTGCAGGAGTTCGGTGCCTATAGTTGGGACCTACTGTTTCGTTTCTCGGATGTATTATTTAATCCGGTTGATCGAGTCTTTCTGAAAAGCGGCGCGAGCCGAACAAAGGACTGGCTTTAATGGAACGTCTCCGTGGCGAATAGGTCGGGCTAGTGCAGGAGGGTTTCCATGGAGGGGCTATTTTCTTCTGCCTGCAGGGCACCGTATACTGCTCTATGCCGACAGGTGAACTGGCAGCAGGCAGTGACCCCTAGGACCGAGGAAGGAGCGGACTTTAATGGCCTTAGTTTCGGTACTTGCGGCAATTTCGCCCCGTCCTAGCAGGTGGCGCGGCCCCGGCCAACTTAGCGGCCCGAAATTGCCGGCAAACCTCGACGGTCAGGCTCTAATCGATTTATTAGATGCAAATGAACGAGGTCGCGCCGCGCTACGAACGCGATTAAGAAATTCGTTGGCTAAAATGGTAGCCAGTCCAAGGAAAAGACTTATCGCGTAGGGCCCCTGACCGATACGAGCGATCGCGACTTTACGTTACTGTGGTTTGTAACTTTGGCTACGCGAACGTGCTTGTAAGGCAATTATTGTTTTAGGGAAGAATTAACATTTACTTCCTATTTCCTTCCAAAGAGACGGCACTAAAGACTTTGGCTCGTCTCCAGACCTCACTTTCAGGGTTTAGAGACGTTTTTTTTTTTAGCCATTTAAAGGGTACAGGTAAAAGACGTCTTCTAACTCTAAACGTGATGGACGAGGACGAACCCTTTTTCTTTAGGGTTCAAAATTGACGTCTGTTAAGTTGGCACGATCACTTTAGCACAGTCAAATAAAATAAACGGGAAGATTTAGTGTTTTCTTTTGTCGTTAATCTGTTTCCCAATTAAAAAAATTTGTTCCTCGGGTCACCTGCAATGTGTCTATTATTATAGAAAGAAATTATTTTTATTTTTATTTTTTTAAGAAAAATTATATCGAAGATCTTGAATTCGTGTTTTGTAGCATCTTGATAGCCCCCCGGTAGCACGTGGTGCAGGTCGAATTTTGCACCCCGAATTTGTCGGCGAAGCTCCAGGATCTCGTATTAATTGATTTATTAGATGCAGATGAGCGAGGTCGTCCTTTCGGTTCGATCAAGATTATGAAATTAATTAATACGTGCGAACCGGAGAGCAGCCTCGAGGGAAATTTGTATGGGGCTCGGTTACAGGAGAGCGATCCGGAGCTCGATAACTTGACGTTGTTGGGACTGTAAGTAACTCCAATTGAATGGCAATATTTGAGAGGTAGCTCTCCGCAATTGTAATTGAAAGTTAATTTGCACATCGGTGGTGGCATCGATGCGACACGACGGCCATCGGACGTCGGGCGCGTTGCCGGTAGTTTGTGGCGTTTTGTAGGCCTCTTTTTCAATTTCCGTCCCGACCTCGGCCATTATTTCGCCAACGACGCTTCATTGTTCGCTCAAGAACAATGAGCGATTCACACGGGACTCGCGTTTTCCGTGCGACGAGCCTTTTTCATTTGTGCCCCCTTTTCCACCAAACCCCAGTTACGGCGTTTCTTTGGACGAGTCTCTCTGTTCGGGGTCCTATCAAATTCCAAGACACGTTTGAGTGCCAAGGAGGTAGATATAAACGCGGCATCGAAATCCCAACCCCAATCTCTGCCAACCATGGAATCGACCTTACATAATCGAAACTATGGCACGGTAAATTACTACACGGACGAGCTTCCCGTCCATTATTCGCGCTTCTAAAGGCATTTGTTGCCCTCCGTAACGAATAAAGAATAAAACCACAAACGCGTCCGCTGCGCTAAAGCTGCCGGCCAAGCTCCTCTGTTCCTTCCACCGTATCTTTAAATCCTCGGGCGGAAACATTTACACTTTTGCGTCAATTTCTAGGTTACCTAACCTTTTCCCTCCCAATCAGACGTCGGAACCCCCTTTTCACCGTCAACGAAGCGATTTTAATTGCGCATAAATCTAGAAACGTGCCACCTACGCCAAGGTTCTCGGGAAAAGCCACGAATTTAGGTGGAAAAAGGCGGGGGGAATTTCATAC